CCGGCGGGATGCCGGAGGGCGGCGCGGGCGATGCGGACGGGCGGCGGCAGAGGCGGCGGCGGCGGCGGAGGTAATTCCCCTCCGGGAACATGTCCTGGAAAGCGGGGTCCAGCGCCCACTCGCCGGGGCGGCCGCGGCGGCAGGGCAGCCGTCGGAAGCAGGGGTTGAGGCTGAGGTTGTGGCGGACGCTGTTCTGCCACTGGCGGCCGGGGCCGCGGTAGAAGGGGAAGCGCTCCGCGATGTAGGCGTAGATGCCGCTCAGGGGCAGCCGCTGCCCGGGGCTGGCCCGGATGGCCATGGTGATCAGCGCCACGAACGAGTAGGGAGGCCTCTGCGGCCACCCCGCCGTGCCCGGCTCGGTGATGCGCTCGGTGCCCGGCCCGGTGCCCGGCTCGGTGATGCGCTCGGTGCCCGGCCCGGTGCCCGGCCCGGTGATGCGCTCGGTGCCCGGCTCGGTGATGCGCTCGGTGCCCGGCCCGGTGATGCATTCGGTGCCCGGTCCGGTGCCCGGCCCGGTGATGCATTCCGTGCCCCGCTCGGTGCCCGGCCCGGTGCCCGGTGCCGCCCGCCGCTCCCCGGGCTCGGTCTCGGCCATGGCCCCGCTCTCCGCTCGCCCCAGCCCCGCGGGCCCCTCTAAACCCTCTCCCCGCCACCCTTCCGCCCCCGGCCCAGCCCAGTCTGGTCAGTTCGGGGTCGCCGCCGGGTCAGGACGGGCCCGCCGGGGGCTGCGGGCGCAGCTCGGGGCACAGCTCAGCCTACACCGACCGGGGGTCGGTCCCTGCGAGCGAAGCCGGTGGAACCCCCCTCGTTTCTCCCCCGCGGCGGATCCGCTGCACAGCCCCAGGGCCAGGGGCGAGCTCAGCCCTGAGCCCGCACCAGCGCCCCGGCCCCGGGGCCGCTCCCGGTCCTGCCGGCACCGGAGGGGGATGGAGGAGCTGCTCCCCCGCAGCAACGTGGATTCTACCAGTGTCGCACCTCTGCAAGCCATTAAATCCTTCAAATACACCTGTGTGTGCAGAATTAGGAGCGAGCTGTTGCCAGTCATTTAATTAAAATACATCCTCCTTTAAGAAATGTCGATTTGATCAGCTTATGCCACCTGTCCCCTAATTTACATTACAAAATGAAATCATAATTTAAAGATCATACAATAATACATAAACACTCTCAGTCACTATTTCACTTAGAAAAACCCCACTTAAATGCCCAATGAACACAGAAGTAGGGTGTGCATATAAATGGACCACTCACACTAAGGTGAAAACTTATCCGGTTTTATTTTTTAAAGAAAAATATTCCTCTTTAAACACAAAGCATGAACTAAAAACATCCGAGGAACAGCTTCTCCTTCCTTGGAGCATGTTCAACTAAACTGTACAGTGACAGAGCTCCCCAAAGAAGACACACATAACATACAGTCTTTCTTTCACAGGAAATAAGGTTTAGGACTTGAAATTGTCCACCTCACCCTCTCTAGATACCCATTCAATCCAAAAATACTCTGTACCTTACTCCCACCCCAGAACACAGTGATGATAATTTCTGGATGCAACATATATCTAAAAAAAAAAAGGAAAAAAAGTATGGGCCAAATTGGCCCATCCTAGCCTTTTAACAAATGTCTGCCAGAGAGGTTAAGACCATTGTTATTTCCAGGAATGGTGCTTGGAAGAAAAAATATAGCAGCATTCAGAGGCAAAGAAGCCCTTCAGTCCAGCTGCCCTGTTACAAGGAACCCAGCCAGTTCAGCAGGGATTCACAGATGTTCCCAGCACCCAGGAAGAGGGAGTGGGAATCAAACATTCACAGGCCTCATCTGTTGCTTGAACAAACAGCCTAAAATTCAGTGAATCTGGCCTACATATGCCAGCAATGAGTTTTTTCCCCCCCTAGTGACCAATTTAATGTTTAAGATTTTATGTAAAAAGGTATGATAAACTTCAGAAATCAGCAACTCGTTCTAACCACTCCCTCTATCCCATCAAATAGATATATGCATAATATTTGTGACATCTGCCAAACTCCCCAGACTGTGGAACTGGAACCAGACTCCAAAATACAAATTCTTTCTAATTCAGAACAGCAAAATCATCTAAAGTATCTGCAAGGTCTCAGAACGTGCCTAACAAGCCCATAGCCAAACAAAAAGTACCTGGACATTTTCAATGGAAAGTAGGAGATGGAAAAGGTCTGGAAATAAATCTCATTTATACTCGACCTGATCATTAATTGTTGGTATTATTAAGTCACGTTCAGATCTTTATCAGGCCATTTTGTAAAGATCTTTCCCACTCCATACACTCCAACAGTTTTTACAGTAGGAAAAGTATTAGAAAAATAAAATCTCCCCCTGAACAACACTGTATGAAGATCAACATCATCAGTCACAGGTATTTTTACAGGGGAACAGATAAACTCCTGCTTCCTCCAAACCAGCTTTGTACAGAAAAGAGCAGCAGGATAGACACAGTATCTACGAGCTAGATTAAGGCCAACAATATAAAGACAAAGATGGGCTCAGATCTTCTGAAATGAAGAAACCTTGCAAATGTTTTTGCACATCTGCATGCACACACACACTCACACTCACACACGCTCGTGTGTTCCTCAGGCAAAGGCTTCACAACCGTGAGAGCACCACGGGAGAGAGTTCTAGCACCAGAATGAAAAACTTTCCTCTTCAGTATGAACCCCAAAGTCTCCCTATTGCTTTGGACAAGGTCACCAAACCCCTTCCCAAGAACAGTCTGAGTGAGCAGCCACAGAAGCGCAGTGACAGGTGACAGGGCTCTGCTCCGGAACGCGGTGTGTGCAGATGCTGCAGCTCCTGGAGAGGAGGAGAAGGTTGGTATTGCAATCTGGTCGAGTGTGGTGGTGAAACTCAGCGCAGGCTGGGAGGTGAGAGTGGGAGGTTTGCATACACGAAGTCACAGTGCACATCTGCTGGGTGACAGGGACAAGCAAAGCCACGGCATCTTCTGGCAGCTTGTCTGTGTAGGAGGCCTCTAGGGAGGACAAGGGTCTGTGAATGGGATGTCACACACTGCACCAGAACACCACGAAACCCAGAGAGCAGAGGCTCAAAGAGAAGCTTGGCAGCTGCTCTGCCATCATCCTGCCTGTACACGTGCTCGGGTGAGCGTGCAAAGTCTATAAAAGGGATAAAAATCTCTTTACAACAAGGTTATGGGCCCGGTTTGGCTACAAGGAACAATTCATGCAAGTTGCAATAGAATTCATCATCCATCTGCAGCACAGCTTTGTGCTGCAGGTCTCTCCTGGCTCTGGGCCTTTGTCCAGGAGGTGCAGCCTGCACAGCTCTCTGAGGAGGCCGAGTCCTGCAGAGTCAGGAGCAACCTTTCCTGCGCAGCCTGGCCTCCCCTGCGAGGCACAGCAGGGACCAGTCTCACCCACAGGGAGGGCAGGAGCAGCAGCTGGAAGTGGGCAGCTCAAACCATGCAGGGAGACTGGGAAAACACAGAGACACTCAGCTTTTCAGTGCTTGAATCAGCAGCAGCAAAGCCCCACTACGCTGTCACATGCACGCTGATCAGTCTGGCTAGGGCTCCCATGGTCTACCAAGAGAGGCTGGGGAGGAACTCAACTAAAACATGCAACAAAAAATAAAACAAAGTGAAAGGAAAGTTGATCATCACTGAGAGCTGGGGCTCCAGGTTCAGAGAATGGCCAGCAGCAGATACACCTTGTTCTGGGCACATGCAGAACACAAGAGAGGAACAGCAGCGAACTGGAAGGGAGGGAAGGACAGTAATCACCAATTCAGGAGGCAAACACAGTGGGTTGGGGGAGTGAAATTTGAGGTAAAGGAGCCCAAAGGAAGAAACAACAGAAAAACTCCTAACAGATCCGAGTCCTGCTTCAGGAAATACACAGCTAATGCCAGTCAGCTCTCTTCTCACCAGGTACTTTTCACACACTGGTAAATCTTCTCTCTGCACTTGGTTTTTGGGAACCAAAACATCAAGATCAGGATTTCTTTTTTTCCCCTAAGATGCACTAAATGATTCTGCGTGTTCAGCACAACATTCTAAATGGCCCCTGAATTCTAAGCACTGCTGAAGACTTACCCAAAAGCAGAAATACCCAAATTACAAACTGCTTTTCAAAATCTACTACTTTTCTTAGGCTAGAAAAGAAGAATCTATCCAGAAGTCTGAATTGTCCAGAAGCAGGTTTGGCATTTCTCACTGAGAGCACCTGGGCATTTTACTAAGTAAGAAATTTCTTAAACAGTTACTTAGCAAATGCCAACATCAGACGGAGGTGTCAGGTTTCTGGATAGATGCATACAATCAGACAGCTCCTCACCTACCCCTAACAGAAGAGATTTGTGCGATTTACAGCAAGAACAGGCTCTGCCACTCACTGCTTCAGTGAAAACTCCAGCAGAGCTGTGAGCTGGAGCCCTTTGTGGTGCAAATCACACCGGAATCCTTTCTTTTACCCACTTCAGAGTAACTCAGTTAATGCCTGCTGGGCAAAGCAAAGCAGGGGCTTCCAGGTTCTGATGCAGCCAGCACAGGGTGTCTGTCTGGGGGCTGTGCAGCCACAGAGCTGGCTGGACACAGGCACACACGGGGGCTGAGAACCAGCACGGCCAGAGTGGAACTGGTGAAGGCAGCCTCAGGGCCAGGTCCAGCTGGAAGCACAAGGACATCTAAGATACAAGAACATGACAGAGCAGCCAAGGTCACCCATGTGCTTAGGTAAGCTTAAGGCAAATAAAGAAAGTTCACTGACAATTTAGAGGAGAATGCCAGAGAGAAGAGAGAAGAGGAACCACTGAGCAGAGCCTGGGGATGCTGTTACAGTAGCCAAAGCCCAGCACCAGCTACTAAGCCATCCCTCTTCTTCAGCTCATTTGTTCTAATTCTCCCCATTTTACCAGCACCATCAGCACGAGGTCGATATGTCAGAAAGAAGAGCTGGGGGTAGGTTCCTAAAAACGCAGCTCACACATTTTCAGGCTTGTGTCTCAGGTCAGTTCTTTTGAAAGGAAGTGTGTGGCCTTTGGACTGGCCTCCTGCTTGGAGCTGGAGCTGGGAATGCTGCCTGCCATCTCCAGGGACAGTCCTGGGTGTGTTCTACCTGCAAGTGATGGCAGCAGCTGCCCAGGCTCCTTTTCATGCCAGCTGAGTGTACAGTAGTTTTTTAATGAACAGCATGCACCGGTGGCATGGCCTTGGCCATGGAGCCATGGTTGAGTTGTTCTCATCTCCTCAGGACCAGGAACCAGAGAGAAAGGGAGTGTTGGCACAAGTCAGCGCAGGCTCCTGTAGACATAGGCTGATGTGAAGACAGCATTGAGGGTCAGGCTCACGGCCAGCAGGCCCCGGAGGGCAGAGGTACCAAAGCGACCTTGGCAGAAGGGGAGAACACAGAGGAAAACAGGGAATAGTAGAAAGAGATGTTAAAGAACTGATAAGTAAAAGTGAACGTATGTTGTACTGTTTCTCTCTTGCCAGTGTTTCAGCACAAGCAGAAATTGCTGAAGCACTTTTCCTGTCAGGAAAGACTCCACTGCTCTCTTTTGGCTCTATTTTCATCTCATCTCATGCTCTTGACACTTGCATCCCCACCCCTCTTCTTCTGTCTCAGTTTAGCACTTTGTCAGTGCTCTTTTCTTCAGACAAAGAACAGGAACAGCTTTGTTAAGATCTTAGAATAGCAGGCACAAGGTCCATTTTGCAACTACTTATTAATTTGATTTCCAGGAAAGATCTCAGCTACCCTCACAGAAATGCTCACATTTGCAGGAAGCAGTCACCAGACTCGTACTCACCTCTCCAGCCTGCCAAATCTTCCCCTTTGGTAGTTGTGTCTACCACGCAGGTAGATGAGTGTGACGAGTGATCCTCCTTTTTGATGGAATTATCGCTGCAAATACTCCCCCCTTCCACAGCAGATCTCATATCTGCAAGGAGAAAAAGACAGGAGAATTCACCACCCGGCTTTCTCCCGAAGGCTCCCCACCCGTAGTGGCCCAGAAGCTGCAGGGCTGAGCTTCCAAGGCAGCTCCTTGCCGCGAGTGCCCGCGGCAGCGCAGCGCTGCCGTACCGGGCGCGAGGCTCTTCCTGGGGAAGCCGGGCAGCTCCGGGGAGAAGGCGTTGCTGTCGGGGTGCTCCTCGGAGCCGCTCGGGCTCAGCAGGGCCTCGCTCTGCGCCGGGAACAGCAGCAGCTTCTGTCCCTGCAGGTTGAGGCGGGCGGGGCTGATGAGCGGCCGGCGGAAGCGCAGCGAGCCCGAGCTGGAGGTCACCGAGCCGGCCACCGAGGGCGCCGGGGACGGCAGGCGGGACGGGGCACGGCTGCCCGCCAGCAGCGAGAAGGGATCTGCAACAGAAACACCTGCGGTAGTTACACAGCCCCTGAACGAGAGACATAGCTCTCCCAGAATTCTTAAAAGAAATGTGAAAGGAAGAATTCAAAATTATTATCTCTTTTTCTGTAATCATTGTTTGTAGATATGGTTCTCCAGAGTGTGAGAGAAGATTGCTAAAAGCCAATCAAATCTTAAATCCACCATTGTTTCTATAAAAACTGTAGATTTCTAATAATAAAGTGTCTTCTTCATACCTTCTAATGATAGAGTCTCTGTATCACCTTTAGCTGTCCCCAGTACCCCTCTGGTAATAACACCCCATGGACAAAACCACCGGGTTAGCATCCTGCTGCAACAGGCACAGCTCTCTTTAACAGCACTACAAGGAAAAGGAATGGGAGCTGCAAATGTCCACCAATGTGTCTTGTACTACAATTCATTATTTATTTGAGTTCCCACACTGCAAAACACAGAGAAATCCCACAGGTACTTTAGCACACTCAGGAATGACTCAGGAATCAGGTTATCAGGAGCCTGGTGAGCTTTGTCTGCCCAGCTGTGCCCATCCAGGAGAGCCTGCACAATGCATTTTGCAGGTGAATGAACTGTACTGGCAGTTCAGAGCTGCTGAGGAAGTGCTGTGCACTGGGAGCAGGAGGTTTGCAGGGCCCGGGGTGTGACTGCCTCTGCAGCAGCACAAACAGCCCAGGGACCGTCTGGGCCAGAAGGGCAACAGACAGGTCATGGAGCAGCCAAACCAGCACCTGCTGCACTCTGCTGGGAAAGCTACAAAAGAGCTGCCCTGGAAGGAGCTGAAGTCTCCTGCCCAAGCAGGCTCAGCTTGCTCTAATCAGCAAAGGGCTCCTTGTTTTGTCTCAGTGATGCCACCGTGAGCTCTCCAAGGAAGAACATCCAACGCACACAGCACCTGATTTTAACGCCATCCCACTTCTAGCTGGGACTCTCCCTGCAGCATTTCTAGCAGCAAAATGGACATTTTCACTGGAATGCGAGCAGGGAGGAAAGAATTCAACCAGACCACGTGTTTCAACCCACTCAGTGCAAATCCTGCAAAGACTGCTGCTCTGGAAGGCCTGGAGCAGTACCTGATGATGGGGATTCCTTGGACTGGGATGACTGCGAGGCCGGCCGGCTCCCACTGAACAAGTAGCCAGAATCTAAAAGCAAAAAGGAAACAATCTGAACCCAGCTGGTTCAGCTGCTGCCAAACCCCAAACCCTAATGCTGCATACTCCTCTATGCACAGGAGCAGCCATCCCTGGGAGCAGGGACTATAACAGGTGGATCCAGTGCCATTCCCTCTGGGTCAGCCCTGCACTCACCTGGATCCCTCCCAGCCCATTTCCTCAGCAGCACTGCAGCCCCCTCCCCGTGGGCCAGCCCTGCACTCACCTGGATCCCTCCCAGCCCATTTCCTCAGCAGCACTGCAGCCCCCTCCCCGTGGGCCAGCCCTGCACTCACCTGCCCGGGCCAGCGAGGGGATGGTGCCCAGGGACAGGGCCCTGTTGAGACGGCCGGGAAGAGAGGACGAGGCAGCTCTGCGTGGGGACCTGAAGAGCTGCTGGTTCGTCAGGTGCAGGATACTGGGTGGTGTTGGGACAAACAGAGACGTGGCAGGTGAAGGGAAGGCTGTGCCAGGGCTGCTGGGAAAGACAGTAATGGAGTCCCCAGAGAGGTACCTGCAAAGGACACGCAGGACAGACACTTAGCAATGAGAAATCCCAGCAACTGCCTCTCTCATGCTTGCAGAACACTTGTTTTGTGACCAGGTTTGGACTAGCTTTACCTGCAGAACACTTGTTTTGTGACCAGGTTTGGACTAGCTTTACCTGCAGAACACTTGTTTTGTGACCAGGTTTGGACTAGCTTTACTTGCAGAACACTTGTTTTGTGACCAGGTTTGGATTAGCTTTACTTGCAGAACACTTGTTTTGTGACCAGGTTTGGATTAGCTTTACCTGCAGAACACTTGTTTTGTGACCAGGTTTGGACTAGCTTTACTTGCAGAACACTTGTTTTGTGACCAGGTTTGGATTAGCTTTTCAGTGCAGGAGTGCTGAAGAGTTTACGGGAATGTTCCTACACTTTGGGAGAAGAACTGCCCGACCTTACTTAAATTATTGTGCACCAACCTGTCCCACAATACAGGGTGGAAAAGAGGGTGGAACAGTTTAGGAATGCCAGTGAAAATACCCTGGATGAGAAAATTACCCAGAGAATGCTTTAAGAAGTCCAGATGATAAAATACAGGAATTTTGTATTATTTTTAACAATTGAATGAATGAAAATACATGAAAGAAAGTCTAGAATAGGAACCAGAATCTCTGTTCCTCTGTAAGATTTTTTTAGTCAGAAACAGGTAATAGAACTGTCAAATAAATCACGATGAAGAACTGAGAATAAAGTGCACATGTTTTTAAACTGAGATATCTGACTTTGCAGATACAATTTAGCAGATGCAATATTTGGTGGCTTAATCTCACTTCTGATGGAAACAGAGACAGATGAGAGCAGCAACATGGTTACATGGCTTTTCTTCTGTCAGAGGAAAGCCAGGAGTAAATCAGAGGGTGAGGAAAATCTCAGCCTTGCAGCGGGGGGTGATTTATGCACGTGTCATTCTGCCCTGGAGATGAAAGAGGTGCAGCAATATTATGCCATGCTAACTCTAGAGTGAAGATTACAATTTAAAGTATCTTATAAACTCCTTATCTGCTAGCAGGAGGCAGCCACCACCAATCCTGCCCAGCGTAATGAGGCTGAGCACGTGAGCCAAGCAGGGTGCTGTGCAGGACATGCCTCACAGCAGCCAGGGATGTGCTGCTCCTGCAGCCCCAACCTCTCCAGGTCCCAGAGGACCTGAGAAGGGGGCCCTGCTCTGCACCCATGGGGAGCCCTTCAGAGCACCCCCACACACATCTGCCCCACCACACACACATGATGTGCCCAGCTCAGCTTTGTAAGAGGAAATGAATGGGAAAGGGAATTAGAAGTGCAGCTCAGGACTGATGTGAATCATAGGAGGAAGAGTGATACCTACCCCTCACTGTGCCATGGCTGTGGAGGGCCAAACCTGTGAGCAGCATGGCTCTTTTGTCCTAACTTTGCACCTTCTGTGTCTTTGGGCCAAAGGACACAACTTTACACAACTCCTTGCTGCAGCAGAAAACAGCTTAACTGGTTTATTGGCTTTTGGAAGTCTTTCATTTAATGGGCTGGAAGCTATTATAGTGATTTATCACTCATAACCACAGTCCTGGGACTGAAACTGTTTTGGATCAGGCTTCCAATGGCTCTGCTGCTCAACAGCCCCACTGCTAACCTCACCCAGAGAGTGCAGCCAGATCCTCAGGGCAGTGAAGAATCATTTGTCTTGAGCCATCCAGAAAAGGAACTAGCCAAGAGGAGCTGAAGGATTTTAACTATAGCTTATTAATGCCTTAGGACTGAATTCTGACCAAAGTGTGTCCTAAACACTGATCTGCTCTAAAAAATTCCTGCCAGAGTGCAAAATACTGCTCCTGTTCTCTGCACTCTTCAGTGTTTGCCACTGCCATGTCAAGAGGGCTCAATGCTGCTAAAAGCCCTCGTGGGAATGTGCTTCATGCCTGAGAATGGGCAGCTGAACTAAAACTTCTTCCAGAAGCAGATAAAAAAAGGTGAGGAGATCAAGAGGATCAAAAGGCAGGAAGCAACCCCATCACAGCCCTGGGATGGAGCACTGCAGCTGTGCCTTTGCTCCAAGCCATCTGTCACATGGTAAAAGTGGCTCTGGCAACAGTAAAAAAAGCAACATTTAAAAAAGAAGGAAAAAAAAGGCTCTGGAGTCAGACAGTTTGTGGAAATAGTCAAGGCCCGGAAGCCGTTTATTTCAGAACTTGATATTGTGAACATCAAAAGTTGGGTATCTTAATTAGTGTTTACAATGATCACAATGTTACTAGACAGTCGGGCACAACTCTGCTACACAGATACTTTAAAAATAAATAAATAGAAGGTTAAAGAAGGGTATTACATGGTATGGGACTGTACACGGTCCTGAAGGAACACCTCCTGCCAGGAGAGCCTCCCCTGCTCCGTCCCAGGAGCTCCCTGCCCTCCACAGACACCACCAGGGGTGTGTGCCTTTCTAATTCACATTTTACCAGACATGCTGCATCAGCCTGGGACAGAGGGAGACACGGGAGGGCACGGGGCAGGCCAGGCTGCAGATGGACCCACTCCTCTACCAGATAATTCAGCCCATGAAGAAAAAGGTGAGATGCAGTCCCAGGCAGGCAGCGTGGGGCTGTGCCCAGCCCTGGCAGCCAGCCAGGGGGTGAAGTGTTTCCTCTGGCCTCAATGTCCCCTCAGAACTGAGCTACCCATGTGCAGCAGGGTGCTGCTCTCCCCGGGGTGCAGAACAGGTCCCTGTCAGCCAGGAGCAGGTGACTGGCTGGGGAGAGCACACTGTGCCCTGACACTGCTCTGCTGCACCTCCCCACTCAGGGCCACAGCCTCCTGCCAAATCCACAGAACCACGAGTGAAGAGCAGTACAGGAATAAAAAACAGGCACAAGGACAAGGGAGAGTAGTGCTAAAATGGGCACAGCTCTCAGACACATCAATATTTTGATATGTGTCTTAGAGAGCTAGAAACTTCAGCTGCCAAGAGTAAGAATTCTTGTCTCTTGCCTGTTGTCCTGTTTTGGATGAAAAAGGAGGGTTGAATTAGAGCTGCACTAAGACCTTCTAGGGTACAGATGCTTGGCATCAATTGTGCCTTCCCCCCCAGCTGGTGGCACAAAGTGGGGAGGTGTGTGTACATGCACATCCTACACCTGCACAAATCCAGACTTGTTGGCATGCCAAAAATGTCCAGGGCACCTCTCCTGCCTGTACACTCCAGAGCTTTGGTCCCAAACCAGGCTTCACAGGGGCTGACCTCAGGACTGAGTACTGTCCCTTTCCCTGGAGAGCATGGCTCCAAGGGCCAAGTGTCCTTGCAGGTGACAGCACACCTGGAAGGAACTGGCAGGTTGTATGTGACAGCACACAATTTCAATAGCATCTCTGAAAACCAAAGCAAAGCCTCCCTTCACCTTTCATGAGTGCAGTCAGTCTGGAGCAATTATCTGGCTATTAATTATATTAATTTTTATAAGAGAATAAATACTTTGTCCACATTACACCAATACATAGTTCCTAGAATATCTAAGCATGATTATTAGCTTCACACAATTTCAGCGCACTTGAAAAATATTCATAAAGCCAAAATAATAAGCCACTACACCATTTTTATATTCCCACATGTTCTCACCCTTTGACACACCCAAGCTCACGAGGGCATGCAAAGCATGGATGTAGGAAAGGAGGAGTTAAGAGAAGGGAAAGAACTGGATAGAAATACAGAGTATTTAGAATGGTAAAGGGCCACAAAAGCTCAGTTTGCATGCACTGATGTCACTGAGGGCCTCAGGAAGAAGAGAAGCAGCAGCAGCAGAGATGCTGACGTGGTTGCTGCCTCTGTGCTCTCCCTGCAGAGCCTGCAGAGTTGCTCAGAAATGTTAGCCCAAGTGTCCTCCCGTGCCCTGCCACGCTCAGTGGTGGCACAGGAAGGACAGAAGCGCTGGCCTGGCAGACACACGGGCACTGCTGCAGCCATGTGCCACCAAGCAAAGCAACACAGTGTTGTCCCAAATCTTGTCCAGGGAAAGGCACTTAATGAACCCACATTGGCCCCTTTATAAATCTGGCTCTGCTGGGCAGGGTGCAAGATTTTGAGCTGGCACATCAGCCATGGCCACTCAGGGCCAGAGCCAGGCACTTGGGGATGGAGCAGATTTGATTTCAAGTGACACACAAACCCACTAACAATCCCTCAGCACCTCAGCTCCGTTCTGCTGTTACCATCCCCTGGTCCAGACACATGGTTAGTGTGAAAAAGCAGCACCTTTTGAATTAGGGGCTTTTGGGCTAAAACCCTCTAATATTGTTAAGATATGCACATGCTCTGGTCTGCATAGCTGAGAGAATCCTCAGGCAACAAAACTGCACCTGGAGACCACCACGTGCTCCTCTGTGGCCTGAAGTAAGAGCCCAGCAAAGTGAAAACAAGAAGCTCAAAGCAGTGACCCAGTAGTTCTGGATGCTTTTGTGTCAGCCGTGGTTGTTAGTTACCTTTGTTAGCTCTTATCCCACCCAGCAGAAGGAAACGTGTCACAGAAAATAGCACCTCAGCTGCACAGGACAGCACCACTGTGCACCAAACACACATTTTCTCCTGCTGGACTCCCTGTGGGGCAAGCAATCATGCAGTCAGATGATGTAGTCAGGTATCTACACCTAGATGACAGAATATCTAACTGCTGAGTGAAAAATGCAAAGCACCTTCCACACAGAGCCCACGGCATGGCAGTGTCTGGAACAGCCTACTTGGCTTTGGAATCTGGTGTGGCAAGAACAGTCTCAGCAAAGGCAGTAGTGGCTTGACTGTTTTTTTTCCCACAGTCAGCAGTAGAATACTGCCAACTTACAACTTCTCTGCAGGGCTCCTTGTCTGAGACACAACTGGTACAGACTGAATGCTACAGTTTATAAATCAGAACACCTCTGGACAAAGCCCACCCTGCTCCTCCTTTCTTCCCTTACCCCTAGAGATCCATCATCCTCCACCATCAGCAAAACCATGTGAGACAAGGAGAAAGAAAGGAGGTTGTCAGCATCAGAGTCTCTAAAACACCAAAATTCAATTGCTGCAAGTTTGGTTTTGAGGCTCTGAGGTGGTTGTTGTTTTTAGAAGCAGCAGCACAGACATGCTGAGGCATCGAGAAGTGGGGAAAATAAGCTGACACCTGAGCAAACACAAAAGCTTCTTTGGCATTAAATGAACCCCACTTCAATATGTACTTTGTTATTCTGTTTCACCTTTGAAACTTTCCCAATTACAAGCACAAAAGTTCTTCAATTGTAAGTTGTGAACAAAGCACCACAGAAATCAGTTGTACAGCTTGGCCATAAAACAAAGTAGCTTTCTGATGTTCTGACATATAAATTAGTGCAACTAGTAAATATACTTCATTTGTATTAATCTGCATAAAGTGAAGACAAACGGATGTCACTTGCAGTTAACATATCTCCCACATTAAAGGACTTTCAACTCAGTATAGATTTGCACTTGCTGTGCAAACAGAGCTAAAACATTCCTTAACAGGATTAATCAGGCTTCACAGTGTAAATCCTCTCCTTCCCACAGTTCTAGCAACTGCCTGTTCCCAGCATTTAGTGTGCATCCTCCCCATCCCATCCCAGCACTGCACAGGGAAAAAGATAACCAGAGAAAAGAACAGGCAGAGTAAACCAACGTAACATTTAAGAGCAGAACATCACAAAAGGTGCCTGACCCCAGGGAGCTTGAGGATGAGTCAAGTTTAAACAGAAAGAAAAAACCAAAGTGCTCCTAAAAAGGGAGGAAAACAGATACATAGAGGAGATAGGAGACAGTAAGAAACAGGACACAGTGAAGCTTAACACAGCCTTGGCTTTCAGCTCCTGAAAATAAAACATCTGGAGAGGCTGCCAGCCATCCTTAGAAGCTGCCACTGAGAGTTTCCTTACTACTAGGCAAGAGAATTTGGACAGATACATTTCATTCTTATTAATAAAAGGGCATTGCTGACAAAAATCAGGCATGACATTACCATGACCATTCCCACTGAGTCTGTCAGCTTCTCATACCCCTCCTTTGAGCCTTCTCAGTATATCCTTCAAACATGAGATTCCTCTCATGCCTTGGACACATCTCACAGGAGAACAGCAAGAGGAACTTTCAATCCAAACTGTACAGGTAAGTGCAGAAGACAATCACAGACAAAAGTCTTCTTTTACATGTACTTTATGAGGAAAATTTGGAAGTCCTGAAGCAGGAAGAAGGAAGGAAACAAAAAAAAGTCCAGATGCCTTATATCACTAATAGCTCAAGATTTCCCATGCCTGTGAGCTGGAAGACAAATGTTTTGGGTCAGGACTGAGAGGTGATGGGAAGGTGGAAGATGGAACCAGACCTTGCAGGTGCTGGATTCCTCCTGTGGGTAAGTGAGTAAACAGCCCTCAGCATCATTCACAAGCACCAGAATGGAGCCAGGCTCTGTGAGCTTGGAGGTGGATATTGCAGTTATCTGAAGGCACCAGAAAAGGATTCCAAAGGAGAGCCCAGGTGGGCAGCAGGTCTGTGTGGCCACTCCCTGGCTCAGTTACAGGCCCACAGCCAGGAGCTGCATTCAGCCTGGCTTATTGTTAACAAATTTCTGAGCTTTTAGCAGTGTTACCTTTATGCTTTCACAATGAACAGCAGTTCGAGGAACAGTAAGTATGAACAGCTAGGAAATAGCTTTTGTTTCCTTTTAAAAAGCTCCTCTAATTTCACCAGCATCTGCAGCACCCAGTAGTGTCTGCATTTTTCAGCAGGAATTGCAGATACTTCACAGTGAGAGCTCCACTCTGGTTATTTTATAGTTTATACACTGGAAGATCACTAGACCAAATTAACTTGTATCAGACTATTAGGGTGGTGAGTTCCACTGTGCTATTCTGAACAGAAGAAAATAGCAGATCATCTGTAAAAGTGCTATTTCCTCTTGAAAAACCAAAGTCCATATGAGAAACTCAGTGGAGTGCCTTTCAAACAACCGTGCAGGATAATCAGACTGCTTATCCTAAGAAGCCCCAACAAGTTAATTCTAAAAAACCCAAACAGCTGGAAGTTCCTTCCTCCCCACACAGTAATACCCAGCCACTCCAGCTTTCAGCAGAGGAGTGCCAGGCACTCAACTCCAAGTCACAATTTCCAGACCCTTTTTTCAGCAGTATCAGCACAATGCCAGACTGCAAAAAAGAACCCCTGCAAGTAACCCAAAACACCCATCTCTGCTGCCATGCAGTCCCACAGCAGAGCTCCCACCCTTTCCAACCTGTGTTCTCAGCAATGAACACTGACTGAGTAGTGAGGCACAATGAAAGCTGGCCAGATACCACAGCATGAGCTGCCAGTCCCACACTTCTCTTTCTAAGGCTATAGGAGTGGAGGAACAGAGGCATTTTTATCCAGTTGTGCTTATACACAGATGTTGCTTGGGGAGCAGGTGGGTAAAAAAAACCCAAAGAAAACTGGCATTGAAAGCAACAACCACTGGTAGGTCTGAAAATTTAACTTCAAACAGCTGCATACTTTCAGGTATTAAGACACCCTGAGCTACATGACTTTTTAAAGCACCTTTTTGAATAAATAACTGAAGTTTCAGTCAAAAGCACTTAAGGACACTTCTCCATTTGAAACAGGAGCCAAGAGAAGGGCGAGAGAGGGTGCAGGTAAGTGATGCTACACAGTGGAAGGCAAGAAGAACCAGGTATTGGGCTCTGTGTGGTCCCCTCCTCGCGTGCCTGGGCACCACAGCACGTGTTAACAAGGACTCCAAATCCAGAGGCAAGTTCCCATCAGTTCCAAATTAAAATGACCAGCACCATTAGGAAAGTGAAGGTGGCCCGGGCCCCATGGTGGATCAGGGCAGAGGGTTCCTCTGTGAGTGGCTAAGGATGGAGAGGCAGTGAGAAGAACCAGGAGGACAGGAGGAGCCAGAATCTCTTTGGCTGGAGGAGCAGAACGGGGAAGAGGCCGCATTTATGGAGCAGTTTGTGAGGCAGCTGCTGGAAGAACTGACTTTGGGGAAGCTGGACATTTGTACTGCTGATGCAGGATGCAGGAGGAAGGGAGAATGGAGGCAGCACAAGTAGCTTCCATGGCTAGCAGTGGAAATGCTAGCACAGTGGTAAGGAAGGATGGGGAAAAATTATATATTTATATATACACACACATATATTACGTGCATATATAAATATATATATTTTTAAAAAAAGGAAGAGGAGATCTTCACTGCTTATCTAACTTTAAAAAAGAGACACAGAGGAAGGGAAAATAACAAGAGGAGAGAGAAGCACCAGTCGCAAAGAGTTCACAAGGCCTTTTTCCTCCTTCCCCCAGCGTCACTGCTCTGGCTCTGACCTTCGGGGCCGGAGTCTCCGCTGGCCCGTTGCCTTCCGCGTGGCCACGGCTGCGGTGAAGCCCACCAGGCAGCACAGGGACGTGGTGCCAAACTTGGCCGTGTCCAGCCAGCTGGGCGTGTCCGTCTTCAGGTAGCGCTCGGCCAAGTGCAGGCTCATCACCACCAACCACAGGACCGAGGCAAACGCATCGATTCGCCGGAGCCTGCCACGGGACAAAACACCAAACAAGAGTTCAAGCACCACTGAACACCTTGGTCCTGAGCAAGGGGAGGGAAGGTGGGGAGGGGACCAGACTGGGCAGGTCTGTACTGCCTCTGATACAGCACAGTGTGCAGCCCTGCCTGCTGCTGGGCAAGTGTCTGAGCAGATCAGTTCCATTTTCTACCATAGCTGCACAGGCAGCTTTTTACTCACAGTAATTCAAGCTTAAATGGAATGAATCAAGGCATGCAGTACTACAAGTGCCATTCTGCAAAGTGTTTACCCATAGATCACCCAGGCAACACAGGACTAGAGAGCTTCTACCAAAGCAGTTTGAGTGAGACAGAAGCCCAGCACACGCACCTGATGCGCCCAGCCAGGAACATGGCCAGCAGGCAGGTGAAGAGCCCCAGCACAGCCACTGCCATCTGGTGATTCTTGCCGTAGGCCCAGGCCACGCTCAGGTTCTCCAGCAGGCGCTCCGGGAGCAGGCGGAGCAGCTCCCGCCAGCCCTGCCCCGAGCTGCCACCGCCACCGCCACTGTCACCGCCTGCACGGGGGCTCGTGCCAGTCCTGTTCCACACGGATGCAGGGCCAGAGGGGACAGGAGCAGGGACAGCTGTGCTGAGGGAGAAGGGGTCGCCTGACCCGTACAAGGCCATCAGAACCAGGAACGCACAGCTGAGGAAGGCCAGGAACCGCAGCAGTATCACCTGAGCTGGTGTGGTGATGGAAGTGGAAGAGGAGGATGAACACAGATTCTGCAGAGGAAAGGAGAAACACCTTGTCAGAAGCTGAATGAACTGCAGCAAGGTTTTGAAACGGTGCTGTATGAAGCACTTCCAGACTGTATGGTTTACTGGACTGCTCTGCTCAAGTCCTTCTAAGGGTCTGTACTGGGCTGACACCACATGGGATTACTGCAGACTAGCAAGGAGCAATGGCAGAGACATGAGCAGAAGCCAAGGTCAGGCAGGGCAGTGAAACAAGGAGAAGGTCATAATTCAATTCCCACTGTTCTTTTTTTTTTTTTCCCCTTGTACTCTGTAATTTCCTGCACTGCACTCATAAATTGGCTTCCCTACCTCCCTTCCTCTGCCTGTCCCATTATTTTCCTTCCACTCTATTATTACATTAGACTTACCTTCTGGCAACTGTGCTGAATGACACCAGCAAGAGGAAAACCTCAAACTAGCATTAGAATCATCTATGGCAACTCTCTCTTCTAAACTGCAGCCACGCCCCCAAGCTCCCAGGGCTAGAGAGCCCCAGGCTGCTGCCTCCCTTTCCCAGCTGCAGATTCTGGGACACAGAGCTGTGTCCCTGCCCCTGCCCTGCCTGACGTGTCCCCACGTACCTGGCTGTAGCTCTTGTCCGTCTCCCGGCGCCTGAAGTGGTGGCTGAGCAGCAGCGCCCGCAGCTGCCGGTTCTGGTGTTTTATGTAATACTCCACAGCAGCCTGGCACGGGCGGCACAGCTTGTAGGTCTGCTCCAGGTGGTGCTTGTACACCTCGATCTCCTCATCGTACTTGCCCTGGGGAGAGAACAGCAGGGGAAAACTGGTGAGAAGTGCAGGTGCCTCACCAGTTGTCGTGTTTGCTATTGACAGGTGGGCAAAGCATGGCCCCAGTCTCACAGGGACAGCTCCCTGAGCCAAGCTGCAGGCCAGGCATACAGCCAGCCTCACACAGAGCTGACCCAGCCTCCACGTCCCAGAAGGATGGCAAAGAAGAGCCTTGGAGAAGCCTGATGTGGCCCAACATCAGGATGTTGAATTTCCACGCCTGATTTTGCTGTCTTTGTTGAGATTCTATGAATTCCACATAGCTGAGACAAGTAACTAGAATTGCTCTTCCTGTCCTCAAGCGAAGGGACACAAAATACCTGTGGCTCCTTCCCTCCAGGCTCATCCCTCCCTGGACCAGCCAGCCCTGCTGTCACTGACACCCTTATCCAAGCACACTGGATAACACAATCCCAGGTTTCTCAGCTGGCACAGGCACTGCAGCTCACTGAATGCTTAAAGAGGGGCCAAAGGCTGGCAGTACTTGAGCAACTGGATAGGTCTGGCAAGAGGCAGGGACTAGAAATAAAGCTGAGAAAAGGGCACCAGCCAAAGATATTCTCATGAAGCATGATCAAATTTCAATCTGTTCTCCAGGAATCGTTCTGATTAAACTCATTGTAATTACACAAAGCAGACTGGATTAGGCAAGCCAGAGAATGGACACATACTACAGCACAGTCTAACCCCAAGGCTTGAACACATTTGAAGGCCAAGGAGTGCAGCACTAAATTCTCTGCACAAAACTTAAGGGAGCCATAAAACCATGAAGGAGAAAACACCATTATCCCATTCTCCATGCATATTAAGTAATGGGAAGGCCAAGAAGTTGCTCAGCAGGAAATCCTGTAGCTGTAGCTGCAAAGTCCCTTTGCCCTCCTAAGCACAGATGCCTAACCGGGGAAATTGTGGCTGCACAGGATTCCTCTCCCACTTCACTTGTAAATGCAGAGCAGCACAGCCAGGGCCTCAGGAAAACAAAATCTATTAAGGCTTCATGTTAACTAGTGGGCTGTTGTGCCTCTCAGGTCCCATAAACTCAGCCATGGGAAGTACTGGAGTTGTAAGATGATCTCAGAAATGTCTTGGGCTCAAGCTTCAGTTTCCAGTGCTCATCTAGAACAGGGGAACATTCCAGCTTTGAAGTAGCATTAGGTAAATTTACAACACTAATCACTGGACTTCTCTGCACTGGAGTGCCACAGAGTGCTTCTGAAGACTGTTGGAACATCATTCCACAGCACACTGAAAAACTGCTCTCTCCTGCTTACTAGGCTGCAGCATGGAATAAAGAGAGCAGGAATAGCAGATGCATGGATGGGAATGCCTTGGACATTCTCCAATGACGGCAGTCCCTATTGAACACTTACCTCCTCCCTTGGTGAGAATGAAGCCAGCTGTTTGATTTTCATGGTTTGATGGTTGTTGCATTTCTTGCAGAGCAAAATTTGGCTGCTCACCCACTGCTGTGGCTTGCTAGGGTCACAGAAAGTTGGACTGCCTGACACAACGTGGTTAAGGTGTTCCATGTACTGGGCAGGGATTGGCTTGTTGTAGTCTCCATTCTGACAAAAAGCAGGGGGAAAAGCAAACATTCAACCATAAAATCAAAGCTAAGTTGACAGTAAGATTCCCTAATCTCTGTCAGCAGCTCTGCATTTCATCAGCATTCATCTATGTAACAAAATTAATAAGTAAAAAAAGAGACAAAATGCTTCAAATCTTCCCCCCCGTCCACTGTCCTGCACACCTATCTCGAGTGGCTGGTGGTGCTGGATTTCAGCTCAAGACAGGCTTTGCTATTTAGCAGAATACAAAACCAGAGAACAATTGCTCCATAGAGCAAAGGAAGTATCCTTAAGAGCTACATCAAGGCCACTTTTGCTCTTTAAAGCGAGAGAGGAACATTTGTCTCGATCTCTCTAGCCAGCACACGGCAGCGCAGTGGCTCCTCTCTCCAAGCTGAGGTGCTGAGCTCACGGGTGCTCAGCACAGGCAGCCAGCTGTCCATTCACTGCACTGCAGCTGCACCATGCTCCCCCAGCTCCCCCGTACCTCCTGGAAGCCGTTGTACTGCTCGCAGTTGGGGCAGTCCCAGCAGTTGCGGTTCCCGTAGGGCACCACCGTGTCCTGATTGCAGAACCAGCAGTTCACCGTCACGTGCGTGGGCTTCTTCCTGGGGAGAGAACAAACATCTCAGGAGCCCTGAGCTCAGCTGATGGACAGGAAAGCAGTGGCTTTCCAACAGTGAAATGCAGGAAAACAGCCAATCTTCCCATTCCGTGTGCTTAATGCTATGACTTGGAGTAGTCCTTTTAGCAATGAAAAGACAGAATGATAAAGCAGAAATAAATTCTGCCTGACAATCATCCCTCTGCTCTAGTACCATGGACATGCCAGAAGGTTAATAACAACCTTGTGATTTACCCTCTTCACTGTTTTTCAGGGGCATATCTGGGGGTACAGGCCCCCTCCATAAGCAGCAATGCTATTCTATGAGAAGGTGCAGTAGAATTGATGCTTAATACACAGGATTCCAGGAAAAGAAATCAGGATCCACGAGAGCTGCCTGTGACGGCAGAAACCCAGGAAATGGGCATCCCCTGCTTTTATGCACTAGAACTGAAGGGATATGTGACCTTGATCCATGAGCCCCTTGTTTTCTAAAGCAATCCTGTTAAAACAACAGCCAATACTGACCAACAGCTGTGACGTGGCCCCACAAAACAGGTTGTGACAGATGTGTGAGCAAAGAACCTCAGCAGCCTGACCCCTGAGCCTGCCTGCTAGAGAAGCTCTGCATTTGTCTCAAAACTCAGTGTAGTCCCCAAGAGGAGCTCCCTGGCAGGCCAAGGCACCAGAGCCCAGCTGTCTGGGTTTATCAGGACCAGTCCCAGTCACACTTCCAAGGGAGGGCAGCTGCCCAGGGCTCGCTATGGCAGCTATGCAGACAGATGGACCCAGCTGCCACCAGGGAATTAATTAATCTGTGTGGCTCCACTGCAGCAGCAGACAGGGCCACAGAGCAGGGGAGCAAATAACAGTAGCCAAAGTGCTCCTAGCAGAGAGCAACTTCTCCCAGCTCTAGGGAATGTTCCCTGCTGCTGAAACATCTGAATGCTGCAGAAGTGTTGTCTGACACCCAGCAACCAAACAGCCAAGTGGGTCTTCTCTCTCAGCCATCACCTTTGTAGCTGGATCCCCACAATTAACATTTTTCCCACTCACATTTCCATAGACCATGCCTTGAAACTTGGTTCATAAAACATCAAACCCTCAAGCAATGTCTGAGCCTCCTGTTTAGGCACTTACAATGAGGGTATGCTTGAAATGAAGCACTGAAAAGTCAGAATGTACAGAGGATTCCCTGCCAGATGCTGAAAGAAAATGGCTGGAGCTACTAGGATGACAGATTCTCATCTCAAAATAGATGCAAACACCCACACCCCCCTTAAAATGAATATTCCCTGCTCAACTTTCTTCACTGCCAAGGGGGCTCAACTGATCTAAAAATATCACTGCTAAAACTAACAGGCAAAAAAACCCCCCAAACCAGCCCAGAGTTTAAAGCAGACAAATCTAGGCTGATAGTCTGAGTTATCCATGAGCTGCCACTGTCCAAAAGCCAAGCACATGTCAAAGCAGCTAGATGAAGGATGGGCAGCAGCACCTGCGGTATCAATCTCACTGTCACAGGTGTAAAAGCTGTGCAAATACAACACGTAGGCTTCAACCAGCAGCACGCAAACCCTGCAGCTCCTGGGGCACAGCCTGAACTCCACCCTCTGAAGGAGGTTGTTGCCCAGGCACTGCAGGACCTGCCACAATCCCTTCCTCTGGCACCCACGGAAACAAGACACAGCACCCCCCAGCCTCTACCCACCCCAGGCTCTCAATTCCAGGGTGTGACAGAGGTAACAGCAGTAATTTCAAGGATGACAGAAGTGGAAACCACAGGTGAAGAAAGGAATAAAGCAGTCATGCTATAAGGGAGAATCCAACAGTGCCAAACCCTACCTGAGAACTCGCTAATATCAGAGACCAAATCCTCAGAGTACTCGAGGCCTTTCCATCCTTTTCCAAACAGGATTTCATTTCTTGCTCTTAAGGCTCAGGAAGTACTACCAAGGATTAAATAGCAGCACTTCATTTGCAATATATGCAAAACAAAAGGCTAAATCCTGGATTATTTAGGATAAAGGGCAATAATACTTCCTTCTGTGAACCTATAATCTGTTGCCATAGAAATAGGTGCAAAAAATCCCAAATTCCCAACTCCTGTTCCTTTGTGACAAGCTGCTGGATTCCTTTATTCTGCTCACAAAAATCAGGCTGCAGCTCTGCAGGTCCCATTGACAAACACTGGCAAGCAACTAGTTTGTGTCTGTCATGTAACACAAGGAGGAACTCAGGCTCCTTCCCAGCACTCTTCACTTCTCATTTATACACACATTTAAGGTCATGCTGAAATCCATGCTTCTCATGGATTGCCAGAACAACAGTCTACCTTGGTAAGTGCTGGCAATAACAAAATGGATGTGTAAATATTTTTATTTACATCTATTTCCCACCCTCTTTAAGATGAAGATGTTTACTTTTCTGTAGTCTTGAAAGAGACACTGGTGGATGTGTCTTTGCTGGGTTACCAAGGATTAGAAGAAAAACCCAATTCTCCATTAAAAGTATTTAAAGCAGCAGTCTCCATTCTGGCACAACTGCATTACAAAGCAATTATTCAAATGCCTACGCCAGCAAATGTGAACAAAAAGTACACAGGGAAGAGGAGCTGTTTTGCACAGGTCAGTTTTGACCAAGCCACGTCTGGTGGCAGCCGGACAGACCAAGTGCTGGCACAGCACTGGTGGCACACCTGGGTTCAGAGCTCAGCTCCCTGGCAGGGAAACTCCTGGGTGGCACAAAGTATTGGTGCCCATGCCCATCCCTGGCAGTAGGGGGGTCTGTCAGGGCAGACCCAACACTAAACCCCATTTTCCAATGCAAGAAAAACAGAAGTAGCAGCTATAGACAAGACTTGGCCACAAGAACAGATTTCCAGTGCAGTGATGTAAGTTACAATGCAGCCTGTCCTCCCCCAAGAGCCAGAGTTAGCGTCCTCTCAGCCAGGAAAAAGGTGCCCAGTGGACTCAGGCAGGGACACACACTCAGTGATAACCGCCCCAGGCTCTGTTCGTATCTGGACATCAAATCTTTTATCTCCTTGATAAACAAAAAGCAAAGGCAGCATCATATCTATGTCTCATACCACGTCTGTCCCCCTTATTAAGCTGTCCTCCTTGCTGACTATGGAAGATTCATTAAACCAAGGCAGAATAAGAAATTTGGAAGTATCAGGACAGTACTGAGAAACACAAACATGTACCTTCAGGAACTATTAAGGTCACCTGAAAGAATTTACCAGCAGTCTTCAAGGACTTGGGAAATGCTTTCCATTCCAGAGACCTTTTGATGAACTTGAGCAAAACAAATCCACTCTCCTCCCTCAAAAGGCATGCTAGCCTGAACTGGGTCAAAGAAATCTTGCCTGCTTCACTGGATTGCTTTAGGCCACTTGGATTTCTCGGTTACCCTAAATATGTCAGAGAAAGGCCAAGTCTGGTATATGGACTAATGTCCCATTGATCATTGATACGGTTAAATAAACAGCAAATGCTTTAGAGCAAACCTCAGGCATCACACTGAGGATGCAGGAATATGCTTCTCTTGCAAAGCATTAACTTGAAGTGAACCTTAACACAGGGAGCCCTTGGGACTGGCTTGTCTCCAATAGAAGCACTTAATAGATGAGCAGGCTGCAAAGTCTATTGCTGCTACAGAGACTGAAATCCATATATTCCACACATCCCTACATTCCTTTCATGCTATTCTAGATTAGAATCTGTCAAATTAAGCTTTTCTCCTTTCATGAGATCTGAATCATGACATCTCTCCTGATGCTTTTCAAACCTGGCTTTCAATTGCTCTGAATTTGTTCTAAGGTCAGGAACGTTCTGTGCAATTAAGAAACAAGTAACCAAAGAATTTTGGTCCCTAATCAATAATTGTGACTTGTATAGAATCTCCCCTAGCTCTAGCACTGCGCTAACAGCGCTGCTATTTCACAAACCTGCTCCCCAGCAATCCATCCTTCACCCCACATCAACCAGCCAAAGGAGCAGGATCTTCTCTTTCCCTGCCTCAAACCGCCGGAAAAGAAGCAGGGGAGAGCGCGATGGGCCGGAGCCGCGCTCCCCGGCGGTGCCCGGGTGCGCCCAGCGCGCCGGGATGCTCAGCCCGGCACACAAAGCCATTCCCGGAGACAGGGAAGAACGCTTCCAGCCGCTCTCCCTCGCCCTCCTGCCGCCCACCCCGCGGGGCCCTGCCCGCACAGTCTCCCCGGGCCGGGCGCGGGCCCTGCCGGGGCGCTCCGGGAGCGGCCCCGCTGCTCCCACAGCGGCCGCGCCCGGGCCCCGCGTGGCGCCTTCCCGCCGCCGCGGGCCGCATCCCGCCATGGCCCAGCCTCCCTCCTCCTCCTCCTCCCGCCTTCCTTCCTTCCTTCCGTCCGTCCTTCCCTCCCTCCCTCGCTGCCCCGCCGGCCGTACCTCCGCGCGATGCGGTAGAGCAGCAGCCCCGCGGCCGCGGCGCAGGCGGTGACGCCCAGCCCGGCTCCGTCCATGCCGGTGCCGCCGCGCTGCCCCGGCGCTGGCGGTGCCGCTTTGTAGGGGCGCGGCCGCCCCCCGGCCCGCCCCTCGGCCCGCGGGGGCGGCGCGTGACTCACGGCGAGGCCGGAGTCGTGCGGCGGGGCCGCCGTGAGTCAGCGCCGCAAAGGCCGAGATCGTGGCGGCGGGGGCGGCCCGGGCCCGGCGCTGCCCCGGCCGTGCGGGGGCGGCCCGGGGAGGTCGTGCCTGGCCCGGCGTGCCTGGCCCGGAGCCCGGCGCACACGGGGGGACATCGCTTCCCCTAAATTTAGCCGCGGCGCTGTGTGACGGCGGGGACAGGCCCAGTGAAGGGCGGCCGCCGCAGCGCGGCACTGCACGGAATACCCTGAGCTGGAAGGGACACAGTCCAGCCCCGGCCCTGCACAGACACCCCCAAATCCCTCCCTGGGCATCCCTGGAGCGCTGTCCCAACGCTCCTGGAGCTCCGGCAGCCTCGGGGCTGTGCCCATTCCCTGGGGAGCCTGGGCAGTGCCAGCACCCTGCGGGGAAGAGCCCGACACCCACCCAGGCTCCCCCGGCACAAACCCGTACCCTGCCCGCGGCGGCAGAGACCGGTGCCTGACCCTGTTCCCTCAGAGACCGGTGCCTGACCCTGCTCCCTCAGAGATCGGTGCCCTGTTCCCTCAGAGATCGGTGCCTGCCCCTGCTCCCTCACAGATCGGTGCCTGCCCCTGCTCCCTCAGTGATCGGTGCCCTGTTCCCTCACAGATCGGGGCCTGCCCCTGATCCCTCAGAGATCGGTGCTGTCCCTGCTCCCTTCACAGATCGGTGCTGCCCCTGCTCCCTCACAAATCGGTGCTGCCCCTGCTCCCTCACAGATCCGTGCCCTGTTCCCTCACAGATCTGTGCCCTGCTCCCTCACAGATCGGTGCCCTGTTCCCTCACAGACCGGTGCTGCCCCTGCTCCCTCAGAGATCGCTGCCTGCCCCTGTTCCTCAGGATGCTGCAGGCCGGGATGGGTCCCTTGGTCTCCCCGGGCTGCCCCCGGCCGCTCCCCTTTTCTGAGGGGAAAAGGCTTCTCGCCCCCCAGCAGATCCACCCCCAGCACCACAAGAAGGGTCTGTATCAAGGCAGGGACCTGGCGCTCGGTCAGGAGCTGTCCCCTAGAAGGGAAATAACCCCATTTATGCTCTGATCCCTCAGCACACACAGCTGGCATCTGCTGTTCTCACAGAACTGCGAACAGTCGGTAGTCTGACAATCGTACTGTGCTTTTACATGAAAGTAAGAGGTTAAGGTCTCTCCAAAATATGAGACTGACCCAGCCTCAAATTGTGATTTTTGTGATTAAAACAAAAGAAAACCTCAGCACAATAAAATTGCTTAAAATTCGGGAGTTCCAAGTTATGTCAGCATCATGTTTTTTAAAATGCATAAATGGAAAACATCTTCATAGACAAATATTTGTGCTGGGAGTAAACTGTACTTTTAAGCTCAACTATGGTTGGGCTCTTCACTGTTCCATTTCCATCTGTACAGATTCAACCATGGAAATTAATTCTGCGGAGTAACAGTGAATATTTCATCTTAACGAATTTAAAAGGCATGTAATTTTTCCATCTCTCTTCCATTGTTTAGTGCAATTACTTAGGGATTGTATTATGAGACCAAAGGATAGGAAGAACAACCCACCCAGTGATTTGGCCAGGGCTGTGCTGCAGAGCTGGTCTATTTTCCCTACACAAGTCCCTCCCTTCCTATCAGCTCTATCTGTACTATCAGTCCAAGCAGAGGTGCATTGTTTAAAATTGAGTTTCCTCCTTAAAGGAGCTAATAGGACCTTGTGCAAGGGGCACAGCCAGGGCACAAGCACGGAGCACAATCCCCAGCAAACGCAGGTGAGCTGTAAGGGAGGCAGCAAGCCTTACAGCGTAAGCACTTGGGAACTCCTCGGGTGGCTCAGAAATATTTCCAAAGCAAAATTAACCAACACGAGTAGCTCATAATATTGCAGCAACAGTTATGTGTGTCACTTTCATGTAACTGTTACTTTATGAATGGAAACAGGCGCAGTCCTGGTAAAGTTAATGGAATCTTTGTGATCACTTCAGACAGCAGCAGTTTCATCACCTTACTGACAATTAAGCTACAAAGGGTCTAGTAATTAAGCCTTTACCTACCTACCTACCTTCCATGGAAATGACTTTCTGTAGAAGCTGGAGAAGAGGAAAGAACAGTGAAAAATTCCTTTAGATTGACTTTGACAAGCAGAGGAAGGTTGTTGGTTATTTTTAAATTCAGGTATCGTTTTGAAAAAAGCTACTTCAAATTCTTCCCTCTGGTAATAGGCTTATTCCATACTCAGTGACATCAATGGGATTGCTCACAGAGCATCACCTAAAAATGGTAACTCTTTACAGGGTCTAAGGAATCAAGGGCTAGTGAATTTTAAAAATTCTATTAGAGAGAGGAAGGACAAAGGATTTAATTATACTAATTCAGAACCTCTATTATCTCCCAATATAGCTTATTAACCCCTGATGAAATTAAGACTAATTCTATCAGGATTGGTAGCAAAGCTTAAAGGAAAAAACCAAAAATCCTGCAGAATTCCTGATTTCCCATCAGATTTAGGCAAAACAAAAATTTGCTCACTTTCTCTTGCTTTCTCTCTTACCAAGTCCCAGACTTCTCAAAAGGGTTGGAGTTCCCTCCCCTCATTCTCAAAAGACATCAGCCGTCTACACATTTGACTGAGATTTTAGAAGCCAGCTAGTGCACTGGAAGTATAGAGGAATGCTAATTTAGGAAAGAAAATCTCAGAAAATGTTTCAGAGTAGCAGCACAAGTGTCCTAGTTCTCAAAAATAGAAACACTGTTTGACAGTTTTACCTCCTATACAGATCCTGAAGCTTCTGCTGCTCATCATCTCCATAAAAAAAAAAAAGCCATGTCAATTTTTACTCAACTGTTTCCTATTTTAGCTTAGGAGGAACGTGATAAGCTATTTCAGGAGGACTTAATAGAAATCAGTTCTTTTTTGCAGTTTTGCTCATAATGAGGTACATACACATTCTACTCTCTCTGCACTAAGCTCCTACCTCACTCTGATGTCAAAGCTGACCTCCAGTACCAGTCATCAGCTGGGGACTGCTGGGAACAAATAGGAAGGTTGGAATCCAGTTGTCAGCCCATCCCATTTCTGCCACAAATCCCAGCCTGAAAGCTCCAGCTGATCAGAGGCAGCCCCAGTCCCTCCCTGCTGTCTCCTAACGCTGCCCATGCTCCTCCCAAGCATCTCTGCTGGGAGCAGTCCCCAGGTCAGAGCCGTCCACAAACACTGCTTCGTGCTCCAGGACTCAGCAGCTGCTCAGATCGTGAGGAGCTCGTTGCTGCAGGGTTTGTCTCAGCTGCCAAAGCAAATGACACTAATGAACAGAAGGCAGAGTGTGGCCAAAGCAAAACACCAGCCCACGTGAGTTCTAAAATACGTTATCCTGCACCATCAGTAGTAATTAATGTGCCACACTTTAGTCACAAGGTGCTGCTGCAATACAATGGGGTAAAGACAATTAAAATGAAAGCACATTCCAATGTTTTTGAAATAACTAATCTCAAAGTATGCAGGATATTTGATTTATAAGTGAAAGGTAAGAATTGTATCATGAGAACTGTTGAAAAGCTTTCTCTCATGGAACTTCCACAGTCACTGACTGTCCTTATGCTCCCAGGCCTGCACCAAGGCCAGGTCTAAAAGCACGACAGATCTGTTCATACCCAGTACCATAACCATGCATCCCAAATGCACAGGGCACACAGAACTGTAATTACATTCTTACTAAAAGCCTCCCACCATCATACTGCCAGTGCAAGTGGCTTTTCTAAGAGATGCTGGTGTGCTCAGTTCATACCTTCAAAACAGAGAAACAAGTTTGTCCTACTTGAACACCCCAGGGTGTTCACACAGCAGTGAACGATGCACCCTGAAAAAACCACAACTACTCTCAAACTTATTTGGGTACTTAAGCTCTTAGAGTGCTCAAAAGCAATATGACCCAGTTGTAAGAAGACAGTTTCAAATGTCCAAGCCAGTTCTCCTGGTTTAATACAGTTTTAATGAACATCAGTCCAAGAGATCACTTGACAGTATGAGGTACATTCCTCGACCACATATGGCTGTGCTTAAGGAAAAGGACAAACATATAATTAAATTAAATACTGTAATTTAATTTAGTAGTAGATTAATTATCAAGTTAAAAAAAATTATAATTAACTATTAACATTAATGACTTGAGACCTTTTAGAAAGCATGAGTCCAAAAGGAAATATCCACAGATGGTCACAGACTTGTAGTGTTTCCACCAGCAGTGCCACCTGCAACAGTCTCTTACAGGACTATTTGTTCAATGAAGAAATTGGTCTTCAGTCTGTAACAGGAACCTTGGCTCTGCTACTTTGCGTGGTCTTCTAAGAGGTACACGATCAGCTCGTAGGTGGACAGGACAATGGCTGTGTTTGGAATCTGCCGGATGAGCTGGGCAAAGAGTCCTCTGTAGAAGGCCAGGTATCCCTCCTCCCGAGCCACCAGCCGCGCTGTCTGGATGAAAGCCTTGTACTTGGTGCCCTCCTCTCGCAGCCGTGTCCGGATCACCTCTGCACGACAGGGAACCAGAGCCCACAGTTACCAAACGGGCCAGCACCAGGAAAGCTCCTGGGCTCAAACCCCAGCGACAGGGAAACCTTCTGGACCAGCTGCCAGCCAGCACACCCAGCCATGGAACCCTTCAGGCAAGAGGAAGAGCTAAAGAGGAGTTCTCTTTCATGTGGAATAAATGAATGATTGGCTCATTGAAGCTAATACAGATCTAAATGCTTTACTGATGCTCACATAATCAATATTGCTCCTTCTACACAACCATGTCATTCACATCTATCCACAAAGACTAACACTGTTCAGTCCCCAAGTGCTTCCCACAACCTGACCACAGAATCCCAGAGGCTGTGGGTACTTACCCAGCTGAGGTTCCTAGTTAGAACAGCAGCATTAGACAATCAGTTTTTTGGTGGCTTTTGAGTTGTTTTTGAACTAGCAAGTCCCAGCCACCAACCACATGTCTAACTAGGAGTAGTGGGACCAGTACTGAAAATGCCAGTGCAGAAGCTGAAGTAACATGCATTTGGCCCTTCAAACAACTAAGGGTTTTACAGCCCT